TGCCTTGTCCAGATCCGTGTAGTCAACACATATGCGCCAGGTACCATTCGTCTTTTTCACGAGCACAACATTGGCAACCCAATCCGGGAAGTAACATTGCTGAATGAACCCAACATCCAACAGTTTTTTCACCTCGGCGACTGCCTCCTGGCTTCTTTCTTCACCATGGTTCCTCTTCTTTTGCCTTACTGGCTTCCTTTTAGGATCCACAACAAGTTTGTGGACGGCTAGATCCAGGCTGATGCCTGGCATCTCGTCCACTTCAAAGGCAAAGATGTCTTTGAACTCTTTCAATAGGTTGTGCAAGTCTGCACCCAATTTAGCAAAAGCAGCCGTCCCTATCTTAACAGTACGTTCTGGACGAGTGTCATCCAAAACAATATCAACGTGCTCACTAGCCCGCTGGGGATGGAGTTCATCCGGCCTTTCTCCGGTTAGTGATTGCTATTGCTTTTATTTTTTCACGGCCACCAATTGGTCGGCCTTTCTCTTTTTGCCGCCTGCTATGGGAGCAGGCACTGCTTCCTTGATTTTGTCAAGGTCTATAGTTTCTCCACTAGGGCCAGATGCAACCATAGTGGGTTTTACGTCAGAGAGATAGCACTTCCTAGCCGTCTTTTGGTCTCCTCGTAGGGAGCCGATTGTTCCATCATCCCTTTCAAACTTGAGAAGCATAAGGGAAGGAATGATAACAGCTTTGGAGTCATTTAGGGTGGGACCACCCAAAATCATGTTATAGGCGGTCAACTCTTCAACAACTAAGAACCGGACCACCAAGTGGCGTTCTTCTCCCTTTTCTCCCGGTCGAATGGGTAAGTATATTCGACCTACCAGATGCACAACTCCGCCCCAAATCCCACTAAGGGATGAGAGACCTTGTGCATGCTCTCAGGCTTGTACTTGAGCTTGGTCAAGCACTTGTGGCTGATGAGATCAAAGGAACTGCCGGTGTCTATGAGGATTCGGCCAACCTTTTGGTTGGCCACTTTGCATTCGATGACAATGGGGTCATCATGCGGCCTCCTGACATTGCCCTTGTCTCCCTCAGAGATGAAAACTTTAGAGAAAGTGTCCTTAGACGCCTGCCCTCATCAACTGAGCGGACATCTAGCCGCCTAATGTAGTCTTTGGTTCCCCGAATAGTTGGGCCGCCTCCAGCATAACCGCCTGCTATTATATAGATTTGTTCTTCGTCAGTATCAAAACTATTAGAAGGTTGAGACTTTTTCTTGGACTACTGCCCAGGGTTAGTTTGCAAGGTAACCTTGGACCTCAGAATGTAGGACTTGAGCACTCCTTTATCAACCAGACGGTTCAACAGCCGCCTGAGACTATAGCAGTCGTTGGTGTCATGGCCAACGTCCTCATAAAAATTGACAGTACTTATTTTTGTTTCGATTTTTAGCAAAACCTTTCATAGCAGCCAGCTTTTCAATAGGCATCCAGTCTTTTATCTCCATGAGGATGGAGTAACAGTCTTTATTGAACTCGTACTTTTGGTAGTACGTTTTAGTTTCTTTCTTTTTCTTCTGGGACGGCTGTTCAGAGGTATCAGCCACCCAGACTTCTTTTCTTTTCTTATTTTCCTTCTAAGCCGGCTGTGTTGACCGACTCTCTCTTTTGTCAGACTTTTTTGAGTCCGACTGTTTACTGACGTTGCAAAGTTCGGTCGCCTATATATAGGCGTCCGCCTCCATCAGTGCTTCTTGGAGGGTGGCAACCCTCTTTCTGACAAGGTCGAACTTAAAGGCCGACCCGTCCTTTAGACCTTTGAAAAAATCTGTATAGGCCACTTCATCAGATAGTCCTTGAATCTGAATTCTCATCAGATTGAACCGCCTGATGTATGACCGAAAGCCTTCTTTATCTCCCTGCTGAATTGCACCCAAGTCAAGACTTTTTTTCTAAGTAGGGATGTTCTTGAGAAGTTGGACGCAAACAAGTATGCAAGCGTCTTGAAATTATTAATGCATCCGGCTGGTAACGAACCATTGTTGGGCGACGCCCTTCAATGTGGCCGGGAAGCATCGACACCATGCGGCATCATCCAACCCTTGTAGATACATGAGGTTGGTATATGCCATAAGGTGATCTTCTGGATTGGTGGTACCATCATAGGTACCTACTAATACATTTTTCACCTTGGTCGGCTGTGCGGCCTCAGTTATTTCCTTGGAGAACGCAGAGGGCTGTTCCCCCAGTCTTAGCATTCGGAGCTGCCAGTCCAAGGGTTGGACATTATGTGCCGCCTGCCCCCCGAAGAGGGTCGACTGCATGTAAGGTTGTCCATACGGCATGTATGGCTGTTGAGGCGCATACGGGGCCGCATGGAGCATCTGAGGACTAGAGTGTGCGGACATGCCGCCTGTCTGGTTTTCTCGGTTTGAATGTGAATACCTCATTGAGGTATTCTGAAAGCTGTCTTGCAAGTTCAACGTTGAAGCTGACTCTGACAGTTGCATGTTCTTCTTCTGCTGGATTAACATCCGAGCATCAGAATAAGTTTTTTTTGAACCATCTGGCTGTACATGCCGGATAGTCTTCCTCTTACATGGCTTAAGGAACCGGAATTTGGCTAAATTTATCAAGGGCCTCTGTTCTTCCCTAGGTTTAGGGTAAGGAGTGGCCTCTTTGTCTTTGACCGGCTTATTCCTTCCATAATGGGAGGGCTTCTTGGCCAACTATTCCCTGGTGGAAACAGCCGTCCGTTTATCAATCAGGTCCTTAATCTCCCCTTTAAAACTTGTCATGAGAGTCATGAGCTCGTTTCTGGTGATAGGGACGGAGCCTCCAACCGCTTGGAGTTGACCAATCGGCTAGCTGGCTGGTTCGCTAGGACCCGCCTGTTCGTCGCCCCATTCCCCCCTTTCCGCGTGACGGATACGCCTAGTTCTTAGTGACCCATCAGGGGCCACGTATGTGTCGACCTCAAGGTTCGTCATCTGTATCTTTGTCAGTATAGATCTGTGCGTCGGCCATAGGCCATTTCTCATTAAAGGGCGGGTACCTGCAAAACATCAGAAACTCCGGGGGATGGGAACTCCGCCTCCTACGATTAAGTTAGAACGTGTTCGGATGTAAAAAGTGCGGAATTTAAAGGGGTGATCAGGCTCTACTTAGGAGAGGAGTGATCATCTGGCTGTCTGAGACAGCCTCGAAATCTGAGCCTTAGCTCTCAAGAAGTGCAATTAAAGCTGGAGTTAATGCTCTACAATTAATGTACACGTGTATTTGATAATTTCTGAATGTCGTTCCCCAGGGGGAAACATCTCCCTTTTATAGGGTCTTGTAATATGTGCCAGTCCTAGGTTTACAGAAAATCTAGGCTTGGCTAGGCCTTCTTGGAGTATAGGCCTTGGAAGGCTGCTTGTCAAAGTTGGCAATTTGTCTACCACGTGTCGTGCTCTGATTGGTCCACCTTGGACCTCTCACGAGGTGACACGTGGCGGACTCTGGTTGGTCCACGTGGATGACATGTTGCAGAGTTCAATTGGTCCACGTGGCGGGGTTAAATCCCCTAATCAGTGATGATGGATTAATTATCCATCGTATGATGTCAGTGTCTGATAAGTGTCATTTATGTCACTATCTCTTAGGAGTTTCTAGTTAGTTTTTCATTGTTTTGATATCTTTTTACTTGGTTTTAATAAGGTTTTATTTCATTTGTCGTGTTTGCATGTGAAATGTCATTGTTGATCAATCTTGGCTTTTCTTGCATATTTTTGGTTGCTTCTTGCATTAGATTAAACTTTATTGGTTTATTCTTAATGTTTAGGAACACTTGGATAAGTTCATTGCTCAAGATTGAAGAAATATAAAACATAAAAGAATAAGTAATGAAGAAATGTGTACTTGATTTGCAAAGATCGAACTTCAAACGCCTATATCTTTTGATTTACAAAACATTTCTTAGTGATTCCAATTGGAGATGAAATCTTATCTCAAGAGCTTTCCAACGACAGGTCATATGCTCAATTTCGATGTAAAACGAGGGAGTTATGTTCATTTGAAGCTGAGCAGTATTGTCCAGCGCGAAGGAGCGGGCCCGCAGTCTAAGAGGAGCGCCCGCTCCAAACTTTCTGGAACGATTCTGTTTCTCACTGTTGCAGCTAGGAGCGCCCGTGCACTGACGTTGGAGCGCCCGCTCCTATACGTGTTGCTCGACTTTTTGCGAAGCTTCCTAAGCAATTTAGTAAGGGGTATAAATAGATTTTTTGCTCATTTTAGAGAGAATAATTCATTTTTTCAGTAGTTTTTTAGGTTAGTTTTAGGTTTTTAGAGAGAGAAACCCTCAAATTTTGGAGAGAGAAAGTGAGAAATACAATGGTTTTCATGGATTTTGGATAATCAAAGGAGGAATTTGATGATTTGAAGATCTCCATTTAATATCAATGAGCATTTCTTACTCTCTCCTCTTTATGCTTTATTTAATTGCTTTCATCATGTTTGAGTAGATTCCCTTCTACTAGGTGTTGAGTGAAGCTTTGTAATGATTAATTGAGTTATTTGAGATAAGTTTGATAATAATTGTGTGATTAAATTGATTGAATTGTTGATGGCATCACTAGACGAAAAAGATAAAAAGGCGCCGGTTCAAACCCCACCTTTGACACCGATTTTGAACCGTTGGGTATTTGAGGGATGCCAAATCCATGAAAATTTGGCACCGGTTCAAAACCGATGCCAACTAAAGCATTTAGCACCAGTTAACCGGTGGTAACTATATGATTTAGCACTGGTTAACCGGTGCCAACTACCATGGCGCGATTTTTTTTTTTTTTGTTATTTTTATTTTCAATACTATTGGCACTGGTTCAAAGAAAGAACCGGTGTAAAAAACCCACTTTAGGCACCGGTTCATGTTTTGAACCGGTGTCAAAAGTCTCAAAAAAAAATTTAAAAAACTTTTGGCACCGGTTCTGGTCAAAACCGGTGCCAAAAATACCCCAAAAAAATAAATTTTTTTTTGCATTTTTTTCACTTAAACTGATATAGAAACATTAACATATATATAAAGTTACAAATTTTCATTAAAAAAGGCTGTAATATTACAATTTTCCTCCAAAAAAAATTAAATAATCCCGACTTATCTCTGATCGACCTTTCTTGCATTTCATTTAATTAACTAGCTGTCCTGGTCTTGTGCTGGTGGCTGTGGCTATGTTTCTGCCCTGGTCATAATGGAGATCTACACCCACTGTCATAATGGAGATCTACGCCCATTGGCCAACGGTGATTCATTTCCCATAAGAAGCTCCATGAAACCAGTGTGTTGTAACTCATCGTCACTTTGCTGCTGTTCTGTGGCAGTAAGTAGCATTGGTTGCTCGTGCTGTCTCTCTCTTCTCTTGTGATAAGTTACAACAGGATGCTGGTTTGTTCCTATAAACTGAGAGAACATTTCCTTTTGATTTCCGCTGTTCCAGAAGTTCAAGCAATTAAGAAACAATCAGCAGCAAAATTGCTTTCATAAATTCAAAAGAAAAACGCTCATAGTACCTCAGACATGCATTTTTCATTAACTAATAATTCACCAAACAATTATACAAGAAAGTTCAAAAGATAGCAGAAAGAAGAATGAAAGAAGAGAAACAATTGCTTAGAACAAGTGATCACAATCTTGTAGCAAAATTTATATTTTATGCTCACACAAGTTCGTACCCAAAAGAGGAAATAAAAACAGAAAAAATACTGATAACCTCCTCAAAGTGGTTCATTAATGACTCAAAAAAATACTGATAACCACTTTTTCTCCAAGATCGTCATCCTTGGATTTGCAGTGTAAAGTAAGGTCAATTCCCTCACCTATATAATTATAGATTATTACCTCTGTCTTGAGTTCAAGAGCACCACGATCACCATTGCAAATTGTAGCAGCAAATATAATTGCCATTGAGAATACTTGAGCCCTTGATCTCACCATTGAATCCAAATATTTTTAACTAAAGCTTGATTTTTTGGATGCAAATAATCAATGGGAAACATGAAATATAAAAAAGGGCCATCGCAAGAGCTCTAAGTACAAAGTATTAAGGAGAGTAAGGTGACGAAACATGAACTACCAAATAAGATTGATTCATCAGTGATCAGGGGAAGAGAAAATGAAGAAAGCGTGTATTTTTTTTGTTGAGAATGGTTTTTATTTTAACATGCTAGAGAGGTAAATATATAACAAGCAAATTTAAAAGAAAATACCATCGCAAGAAAGAATTTCCTGGGCATGAAGGCTGCTAATGTAAGTGCATGTAACCCGCAAAGTAAGCACAAAGTCACAAATTTTGTACCAAGTCTTCAGCATCAACAGCTTCCTCAATAACATTGATGCAAGAGCCAACAGACATCCTGTTAGACATGGCATCAGCAAGTTTCGCTCGAGCTTCTTCATGGCGGCGTAAGAAGAGGATAGTATTCAGGACCGCCCATCTCAACTGTGAATCCGCTTTCTTCTGTGTGAACCCCAAGCTCTTGAGCATGCCATCCAACTTTTCAGAAGGAAAAAACAATTCAAACATTAGGAAAAAACAGATATAAACCCCAATAGCACAATAAAATCAAGGTTTATGAGTTAGTTTGATTTAGGCTAACAGGATCTGTTTAATTTAGGCAAACAGAATTTTACTGTGTGTTCATGAAGGAATGACAAATGCATAACAGTAAAATCGGGGGCACTTTGTTCACTAAAGGGGGGACTTTCAAGACCAATTGGAGAATCTAAGACATTATGATTAAATCAATGAAATGACCAGATAGATGAGTAGGATGAACCTTGTTAATACAAGCTAAACCTCCTTCTGCATATCCATATAATAAGTACTCTGTTGCTACACCAGCCAATGCTATACATGAGAATATGTTCAGCATCTCATCAAAGACATAATATTGTCATAATCATAAGTAGTTTCCTGTTAATTAACATGAGGTTTCTTCAGAGAAAATTAAGTACAAGGAAGCCTCATAAAAGCTTGCACCAAGAAGAGACCATACCGTAGATGACATTTTCCCTGTGTTGGTCTGCAAATTACAGTCACAAATTGATTCAGAATTTCAAAATCAAGCAAACAAAGCTCATAAAAAATAAGCACTGAAAAGGCGTTCAAACGTACTAAAGCATAAGCTAGTTGGACAAGCTAAGACAGTAAGACATGATAGTTCAGAGAGAGTGTTAAAGGGAAGGAACTCAACAGGTCATAGTGAGAATAACTTACTTCCTCGACAAACTCAAAGTCAACAAAATATGTTCCTGCTTGAACATTGAGAGACCCTTCTTTGCTCAAAGCTTCTAAACTTGAAAGTGTATAACTTTTTGGAAGGATGCCAAGCAAGTAGGCAATCAAAAAGTGTCCAGCTTCATGCTGCAGTTGAAAATTGATCTTGTGGTCAACTCAGGGATAGCAAAAACTTAAAGTGTGAAGAAAACTAGAAAAGGCCACCTTTAAGGAAACATCTACCATATATATACATTTAAAGATAACAAATCCAATAAGACTACACGTATTAGCTCCAGGAAACGAGAAAATGAACCATGTGCTTACTTGAATAACCCGGTTGTGGTACTTTTGACTGATGGTATGGCCAATCGTATCAAGAGCTAAGCCGACAATTCCTCCACCAAAAGAAATCTTTTAGAAGCCACATATTAACACATTGTTTAAATGATTCAAAACATTTCTCTAAGCACAAAAACTTAATACAGTGACTCAGTCCATGAACAATATTTTCATGAGCCTCTACCATTAATGTAGGAAAAAAAGTTCTCAAGTTTGACAAAGGAAAGGGAAAAAAAAGTTACCAGATCCAATGTCCACAAGAACAACAATCCCAAAGAGATATAAAAGAGTTGCTGGGGGCTAAGTTCAAAGGCGTTCCAAGCAGCAACACCACCTAAAACCGCAGCAATCTGCAGGTTCCTTTCAATTGAACCAAGAGTCGTGTCCACAGGCGACAAGAGAGAAGCAGCTTCAATTCCAGTCAGCTTTAATTCATCCAAAGTATACAGTCTCCGAGGCACCTGCACTGCACATCACACTTCCACTTAATAACACAATACTAAAGTCCAAATCCATAACATCTCAACTTCGAGACAATAATCATGTTTGTGTAGGGATCCAAACATCCAGAAAGCACTTCATAACATTGTTCAAATTCAAATTGTTCTAGGCTTCAAACACTCACACCCTTATCCAATGTATCATGTCAAGAGTCAGACACAGGCCATACGGGTTACTGAAGCTCGACACAAAGATTCACATGTTAAAAAGCTTGAAACTAATTCAAGTAATACATGTCTCAATGACATAAATCTAGATACATGCAAACAGCTAAAGGAAAAACAAATGTGCAGCTCCACCTATAACAACCCGATTTTTTAACAAAGGAAAAACAGAAACAGAAAACGTAAATGTATCTAAAAGCAAATCAATGATTCAAACCTTCACGCCAGCCCACCAATCAAAGAGCCAAACAGTCTCCAACCATAATAGTTCTGTTACTACTTTGTTAAATTTCCGATACATATCTTTTGACAAGGGTCGAACTAAGACATAAAGAATAGCCTGAACACACAAGCACAACAAAGAAAGGGTTCAAGATATGCATATCAGTCAAAGAAAATCATCAACAACACACAAAAGCAATTATACAGCATGTTAGCATAGAAATAGTGACATAAATCTGTTTTAAGACAAATAACATGGTGTTTCTGTGTGTATTGACATTATTTTGTGGCCTTGATCATACTACACAACATCAAAACAAATCGTCACATCTCAATTCGCTTAACACAAGATAGTAAAAAATCTAAATCCAATGGTCCACCCACCTCTCTGGCAAGAAGCACATGATAAATGGATTATATTATATATCATTATATCAACCATATCCTATTCTCCTAGCAATAAGCAATACAAGTTAACAAGAAGCACATTATTGATCCCACTTTCTCTAGGATTGAAGATTCTAATGTAGTACTTCGTACATAGTAATTTGGGGGCCAATACCAAGACTCGTTCCGAAAAACCCAAGTCCTATAAAGTATAAACAACCTTCAACCATTACACATTCACCATTTCGTTCCAAATTCTATTCTAGCTATTGTATCCCAGACAAATTGAACATATAAACTACTTCCCTTTTTAATCAAACATATTTACATATACATTTTAATGCTAAACTTAGTGTAAATTGCACTAATATACCCACAATGCATGTTATATAATAATCCATTAGATGATTAATATATTAGCCTAATTAAATTTCAATTCAAAGATAATAATTCTAGGCTATCAATTTTACCCAAAACTAAAAACCCATCAAACAATTTTATGCAGCAGAACCAACATTAAACTGATTATTTAAGAAAAACCCATCAGAATCCAGAAGTATATTCAACAATCAATTTGACTATAAATAAATAAAAAATAACAACAAATTATAAACTACAGCAAATGAAGTGGGGTTTAGTGTAGTTACCTGAATGAGATTAATAATGAGGCCTGAAAGAAGGAAAATTAATCCCACCGGAATAATTACAAAAATAACAGGTAATTTGTGAAAATCATCAATCTTCATGCTTGTTTTAGCTGTTGTAATTTTCTACTCTTTTGTTTGTTTTCTTTCCTCCTTTATGCCCCCTGAATCTGTGTTTCCGTTTTAGCTGATTTCCCTTTCCTTTATAATTCAATCAAAGAATACAACTAAGAATTTAACATGCAAAGAATTTCGCAATATGTAACATGCAAAACTGAAAGTGACATACAAATCGCAAGAAATCAACAAATTAACACATAATTTCTCCAGTTTTAACAAAAAGTCAACACATAATTATAAAATTAATACCTGAAACTTTCGATTTGGGTGATTACTCAACAGATAATCGAGCAGAAGAGAGAGTCTAGCAATTCGTGAGAAAAGAAAACGAAGAGAGGAGAGAGGATAAAGAACAGATTACAGAGAAGAGAGAGGAGTACAGAGAAAAGGGAAAAGAGAGGAGAGAGGAGAACAGATGAGAGAGGAGATCGGAGAACGAAAAGAGGCGGAGAGCAAAGGGGTTTATACTCGAAATTTTGGGACACCGGTTAACTGGTGCCTATTCAACTTTTTTTTTTTTGGTTTTTTTGCCTTTTTTTTTTTTAATTCGCACCCGTTTGAATTGGTGCTAATTATCATAGTTGGCACCGGTTTAAGGCAAATCGGTGTCAAAACTGAATTTTTTAATCCCGCCAATTTCTTTCGGCACCGGTTTTCAAGAACCGGTGCTAAAGGGGGGGTGCCTATTTCATTTTTTCTACTAGTGCATGTTGTTTGTTTTAGATTGGATTGATCTCTCATGATAACAAACTTAATTGCATTTTTTTAGTTTGACAAGGGATTGTGAATTAGAATTGATATATTTGATTGCATTTTGGGTAAATTTCTTCTATGCACCTAGTCAATGAGGGATCTAGGCTAGGAATTTGAGAGATTACTTTTGAGTGTAGTTAATTCTCATTTTAATTCTTTCTTTGCATGATTGATTATCAAATGGATTTTCATTAGCTTATTAATTGTTCAAAGTGGATCTTTTCCCCTAGTAGACTTTATCATACCTTGTTCTTTATATGTGTTTTAGTGTAGTTGTAGTGTCCTCTATCCATAAACCGACTTCGACGTAGCTTAAGCATTAGATCAAGAACAATCTAGCATTACCATTCCTTGTGGTTCGACTCCGAACTTACCACTAGACTTGTTTAGGGGTTAGTTTTAGGATTTATAAATTTATTTGACAGTTAGGAGGTTAGACAACGACCTAATTTCCCCGCGTTTAGTGTCATTGATTGATTTTACCTTTATAATCTTATTATATACTTCGTATTATATATTTTGTGGTCCGATAGAATATGACATCCGTATATAGATTTACGATAAAATAAATCTTAATCGGCGTATATCTAGTTGGGTATAATTTTTAAAAAATTTCTATAAGCTATTTCTATATGAAAAAATGTCCAATAATGTTTAAAATAAATTAGTGGTTTTAGCTGCTAATTTAATTTGTGATTATATTTAGGAAAATTTTTCAAGAATAACACGACCCTTTGGCGGTCTTTCAAGAATGAAACAACTTTTAGATTAAACCGGTAACTTGTTTTACCGGTTACATTTGACACGTGTCTTGTTGTAATTTGTGAAGATTTTTTTTTAATATTTACATTTTATTAATATTAATGATCTTATTTTTTAAAAAAAAAAATTGAAATTTTGAAAAAAAAAAAAAAAAAAACCAAACACCACTCTCTTCCCGTGAACCTCCTCTACCTCCACATCCACCACGAACTCCCCAGAAACCACTCCAACCCAGCCCAACCACACCAGAAACAACCCCTCTCCCCAACACGACCCTAAAAACCGCCTTCCCTCCCACTCCCATACTTGAAACAAACCCACAAATCCCTTCCCATCACTTTCGAATCCGCCGTGAAACCACCGCCCTCCCTTCCTATCACCGCGAAATCGCGCGCCTATACACCCTCGAAATCCAATCAAACCCTAACCCATGGGAAAAGAGAGAGCTTGCGTTAAGGAAAAGGGGTGCTAGCATCTTGAAATGAGGTAGGGAAAAGAGACGAAATCGGGAACTGGGTAGGACGTGGGGTTGGAATCGGGGACAGGGATGGGAAGAGGAGGACGGAAACAGGGAAGGGAAGGAAAGGACGCCGAGAAAGGGATCGGGGGGAGGCTTGACGCTGGCGTGGAAAGGGTGGGACGACATCGGCGGGGATAGGGGGACATGCAGTGGAGGAGGAGGGGTGGTTGGCCAGTGGGGTTGGGTAGGGGGTTTTCTTTTTTCAATTAAGGTTTTTTTTTTTTTTTAATGTTTTAAGGGGTTATTTTGTTTAGTTTTAAGGTTTTTTTATAAAAGGAAATTGTAAAAAAAATTGACCACTGACACTTTGACACGTGGCATAGGTAACCTATTAAACAAGTTACAAAAAGGTCACGTTCTATTTTTGGAAGATATGTGTTAAAGGTTGTGTTATTTTGAGATAATCTAAAGATCGTTTCATTTTTGGAAGATCACTGAAAGGTCGTGTTATTCTTGGCAATTTTTTCTTCTGTTTGAATTAAACCTGGAAATTTAATTTAATTAGCAGTCTTTATGATAGATTGAGAATTTTGTGAAAACTTGAGCTTAATTAATTAATTTTTATTTATTTATGGAATTTGCTTATTTCTTTATATTTAACCTTAACATATTACTGTTTCGGGTGTAGTTCCGGAGCCTAGCTGGTGGCTGGATCTGGGTACCGGCTGGGATTACATGCATAATGAACGTTTGTTATGCCCTCGGGGGTGGCTTCGAGGAATCCTCCTCCGATGCTTAAGTTAGAAAGGTTTTGGGTGAATAATAACGGATAAGTGATAAAATGAATGTGTCTAACCCTTTTTCCGTCGTACTTGGGTTGCTATTTATAGTTGTACTATTCTTAGTGCTATAGGATGAGGCCTGTTGGGGTCAGCCAAGAGGCTGAGCCCCTGAGAGATCGATCCTGACTCCGAGGTGGAGCCTGCTAGGGTCAGCCGTGCAGCTAAGCCCTAGGAGGTTTTCCTTGGCCTCGATTTGGACTGGCACGAGTGCGTGCCTCTCAAGTGGTGCTGGGAGCATGAGTCAGCTCAGCGGGAGCTACCCTATATAATTACATTTGTATAATGCCCTTTAAAAGCGGATCCAGGAATTAAGACTCCTATAATGATACGTGTCATTTGGTCTACTGTGTCTTAAAAATTCAAAATTAAAAAAATTAATTTGGTTAAGAAACAAATCTTATACATATATGAAGTAATAATTTCTTTAAAAAAAAAACTAATAATTTGAGATTTGATATATTTTTTAAAAAAAAAACATATTGACAATTATAAACTTAAATAAATACTGTTTCAGGAAAAAAAAACTTATACAAATATTAAAAAATAATATTTCTTCACATTATTTGTGATATATGGACTATTTTTTTTTGGAAAGATATGTACTATGTTTATAATTATAAGATTATACATATTTTTCTTGATTTTTTAATTATTTAATAAAACCAACAAACTTAAATAATGAAATGCGTATATCAAATCAATAAATGATACTTTTGTTATTTTCTTGAATACATTATAATTTGAATTTTAATAAATTAATAAGCTATTATATTAATAGTGGATATTTTAATAATACTTGTTAAGAACGACGATTATTCTTAGTGTGATTTTTTCCTACCATTTTTGTTGTTCATTAGCGTTCAATTGATATGAATATAACATACAAAAGTAAAAAAATTTAATATAGTGTTAATTTAAAATATAGTTATTAAAAATTACCATGTGTTTCAGGGTTTTTGGAGTCCCTCGGGAGAGTTACAATTCCAAGAATGGATGCTGACCGTCTGTACCTGCAAAACAACGGAAAATCCGGTTGGGTGGAGTTCCGCCTCCGACGATCAAGTTAGTATGTGTACGGATAGAGTTAAAAGTGCGGAATGTAAAGAGTTTCTCTCGGATTCCGAGAGAGAATATCTGCAATAAATATTGCTCTGATTTGTGCGGATATTTTTGAATGCCCTCATAAATGAAAATATCTCCTTATTTATAGGGTTTGGGAATCAGCTCCCCTCCTTGGGTTATGAAACCTAAAAGGCTGATGGGCTGATTCTTGGATTGGGCCAAGAAGGCCATATTCTGCCTTTGGACTGGGAGTGCCACGTGTCAACAGAGGATTGGTTCTTTTTGAACCCCTCTGAGGGTGACACATGTCACCACCTGATAGGGCCATGTGGACCTGGGTTATTTGACCCTAAACATTTGCCCATCACAGGTGTGACGATCTGAGAAGGCGACGGTTCGTCTCCCTCTCCTCCTTTTTTTTTTTTTTTTTGAGGCGACGGTTCGCCTTCTGGTGGGAGACTCGTCTATAAGTAAGACCTCCCCCCCCCCCCCCCCTTTCCTTCTACTCATTTACATCATTGAAAAAATTTCGGAGAGAGAAAAGAGAGCTCTGAGACCGGCTTTTATTACGTAACCATCTGCTTCTTCTTGACTCAACTGGTTACCGCCTGGGTACTCATCACTCAAGGCTTATCAGGACCATCTAAGCATACTTCATCTGATTTCATTGCATTCAACCCACCTACAACCGATCAACCGTCTGCGGTATCTTCAAGCAAAGCTTCGGAGAAACGTCTGGGTTCTTCAACAACCTCTCTTGCTTTCCAAGTGGGTACATCAGGGTAATCGTCTGGGTGTCTAGCAAGCAATTGATAGATTTCCAGCTGCTGATTTAGCTGGTCAACCTTTTCCACTTTTAAAGCTGTTTAAGGTACCGTCTCTACCCTTTGCAACTTTTTGGAGCTTTTCCGATTGTATACTTTGTAAAGAATAATGGACTCACCCAACACACACATGGCACGGCCTAGGACAGTTGTTAGCCGATCTCCTAAAACGGCTGAGTCTAGGATTGGGGATACCGTCTGGGGGTGTTTGGACCACCCTTTCTCTTCTACGAATCCGACCGTCTCTGTGCATGTGCAGGACAGGATGGCTCTGACAAAGCGGACGACTGTTGACCTCGACTACAGATCAGACGGTTCAGCTGAAGCGCCGACTGACATAGAATATTATGATCCTCCGGGTGCACCCAACACACCTAGTGACGACATTTTAGAAGAGTCTGAGGATGTAGACGACGATGAGACCGTCCAACAATCAAACTCAGAGGAGTCAACTTCATTACAACCGGATGCCTTCCAAGAGGATGAGGAGGCATACAAATGGCCATCCATCACCAATCCTACTGAAGCGCACATGTCCACCAGGGACATCGTGACCCTGAATGCCACCTTCCCCGCCTTTATAAAGAAATGCCCAGTTGGGGATAGGTGGGAGGTCCTAGTACTGCCTACAGAGGCAACCGTCGTTTGGGATGACACATTGATCACGCCGAAAACTATTTCGGTTGTTATTAAGCGGCTTTTAAAGCCGACCTCCGGTTCCCTCTCTACAATGCCATCAGAGCTATTTTAAGAGGCTATGATCTGGGCGTCTGACAGCTAACACCCAATTCTTGGGTGAATATATATTAGG